ATTACAAGTATGCATGGAAGGATTAAATATGGAATCAATTATTGAAAAATGATAAAACAGTAGATACGTAATAATACCCAAATTGCCCCCAAATTGAATAATTTATTAATTAGTTTACTAATTTACTTTTATTTCACACATTTTGCGCTATAAATCACAGAAAAAGAATGAAAATCAGGCGATTTGGGAAAATTTGATTTTCAAGATTTTTTCGGGATTTTCAGATAAGCAAAAGTTTCCACATGCTTTGAATTATCTTTTTGCAAAAGTTCATTTTCCTTTCCAACAAAAAAAAATATAAGACCAAAAGGAAACCATTCTTGGGTCTAGTAGAAACAGGGAATTGCAGAAAAAACATTTTTTCACTTTAATTTTTCCAAAAGTCTTCTAAAGTTTAAACATTTATAGCCAAAAATGACTCGATTCGCTTGAAAACTAGCGGAGTTACAGGCATTTGAAGTTTAACTGAGGCTTAGACTACAAACTACAAAAATTCTTAAGCCTCAGTAAAACTTGAAAGCGCTCTAACTCGGTTCATTTTCATTCGTTTCCAATGATTTTTGGCTCAAAATGACAGAAATTTTCGAAGAAATGTTTCAAAAAACGATATTTCAAATTTGCAGGCAGCACATCATCACTGGTAAAAGATGAGAACGCTTCTACATCAGCGGGAACGATTCTGTGTCAAGTTTGTTCGGACAAGGCCAGCGGTTTTCATTACGGTGTTTTCGCTTGTGAAGGATGCAAGGTTTGTCTTCCAATTTTCTTGTCAATCTGGGACAGATTTCCTTTTTTTATGAGAATGGCATTGAATTCCGTTAAGGACAGACAAAAAATAATTGGAGAGGGAGAAACCTAATAGGGTACGGTAATTAGAGGGAACGATTTGAATATACTACCTTAATAAAAAACAATTTAAAGGTTTGAAATGAATTGTGAGATTCAAAAAAAAAACTAAATTTGTAAAATAATTTTCGCAAAAAAAAAATTTTTTTTTCAAAATTGTTTTTTGTCTGAATTCCAATATCAATAACTTTTCTGAAACTAGTGTGATTAATCTGAAATTTCCAGAATATACTAAACCAAAAAAAGGCCTTCATTTTGATAATTGACACTTTCTGCTAATAATCAATTCCCAGGAAGATATGTCTTGTGGAAGGTACTAAGCTTCTATAGACGACGATGGGGGTTAGGGATTGTTGTTTTCCACGTGGCATATCTCTCCAGGACTTGATTTCCAGAAGAAGTTGTCAATTACAAAAACAAAGCTCTAGTTTTGTTATGTATATTCTAAAAATTTCAGACAATTTGAAAATTTTTGAAGGATTTTATGATTCTTTTAAACTGCGGCGTCCTTTGTGGAAGCTTTTCAATGTCAAAATATAACCCTAAAGTTTTGACTTTTAGCTATTTAGATGATTGTTATAACTCAAATTACCAAATTTCCAGGGCTTCTTCCGTCGATCCATTCAACAAAAGCTCACCTATCGAGCGTGTACACGTGTCGAGGATTGCCTGATCCTGAGAAATAACAGAAATCGATGCCAATGTTGTCGACTGAAAAAGTGCCTGGCCGTTGGAATGTCCCGAGATGGTGAGAAAATTATTTTTGAGCAATTTAAAATCTTGCCAAAATCAAAAATGAAGCTAATGTAACAATTTGAAGCTTCTAGACCCACTAAGAGCCAAGTTACAGCCCATTAAAATTTGGTGGCCGAACTTTTTCGAGATGGCCTAAAAAATCCATTTTCATGCCAGTTTATGAATCTCATCTTGTATAGTGTCCTCACAAAGTTTCAAGTCTCGAGCTACATTTTGAACCGAGTTACACACGTTCAAAGATTCGACCTACGCGGCGCGGTCGCGTCGCGTGCGCCTCCAAACTTCAAATGGGTATAACTGGATTCAAAATAGGTCTACAACGCTGAAATTTAGTGGGTACACTGAAATTAACACTATACGCCTGTTTAAATTGAGAAAACTTTAAAAAAATTAGTTTTTAAAATTCCGGAATTTTGAAAAAATCTCAAAAATTGACCTTCACATGCTTTTCTTGTTTCTCGTGTTTTGAAAGCCACTCTCCCAAAGTTTCAAATCTCTAGCTTCATTTTGAGCTGAGTTACACACCTTTCAAGTGTTGACCTACGCAACGCGGTCGCGTCGCGTGCGCCGCAAAAATTTAAATGCGTATAACTGGGCTCGGAATTGTCCTAGAACGCTGAAAATTTATAGGGATACTAAATGTGATATGGGCTTTCCGACTAGCTTAAATTTGAAAACTTTTTAATTGTTCAAAAAAAATCCTAATTGCTTCCACCACCTGATTTTTGACCCTCTTCTTCTTTTTGGCGCGCGTCCAACAAATTCGAATTAAAAAATTCGCCCAATTTTTTTCTCAGAAAGTGCAAGTTGACACATGTCTCGCGCCGCGCGCAGAAAACATCTGTGGGCCAAGACAAGGAAAACGAGAAAAAGAGAAAAAAGTGCAACATTTTTTTTTTGCCCTGCGAAGAGACATCCATTTTAATGGGTCTTTGTCCGGTATTGGTGATCGCCTTTGTCCTTAGAAATTTGTAGGAAATTTATGGGGAAAAAAAGGGATTGGATTTTTTGTTTTTGCACTTTCTGGGAAAATTGAAAAAAGGAAAAGGCGCAATTTCAAAAAATTGGGGAATTTGGGGGATTTGTGGAAGAAACTGAAATACCAGATTTTTAAGTTTCTCATGGTTCGATCACTGCTCACACAAAATTTTAAGTCTCTAGCTCTTATTTGAGATGAGTTACACTAATTCAAAGTTTTGACCTAGGCGACGCGGTCGCGTAGCGTGCGCCTTGAAACTTTGAAGCCGCGTAACTTGGCTCAAAATGGTACTAGAAAGCTGAAAATTTGTGAGGACACTAAACATAACATACACTATCCCTAAAATACTGAAAACTCCTTAAAAAAAATCAACATTTCAAACATCTCAAAAAATTAACATTGACTAGATTTTTCTATTTCCAATATTTCGATAATCACCTTCACAAAATTTAAGATCTCTAGCTCTTATTTGAGATGAGTTACACTAATTCAAAGTTTTGACCTACGCGACGCGGTCGCGTAGCGTGCGCCTTGAAACTTTGAAGCCGCGTAACTTGGCTCAAAATGGTTCTAGAAAGCTGAAAATTTGTGAGGACACTAATTGTGATGTAGGCTTTCACACTAAATTAAATTTGATGTGGTTTCAAAATATCAAAAATTTTCAGCTGTTCGATTCGGTCGAGTGCCAAAACGTGAAAAAGCGAGAATGTTTGAGGAGATGCAAAAGACAAATGTGCAATCACAAAAAGATCAAATCGCAATTCAATATGAGAATTTATCAGAAGTCATGCACAAAATGAATCAGGCATTTATCACACTACAGACTACGGTAAGGGAATTTTTGAAAAAAAAAATCATTTTGACGGCTTCTGAATTCTGAAAACACATTTTCTGGAATTTTCACTTCGTTAACTTTGTTTTCCATGTGATTTCCGTTTATTTGATACCCATATTGCCCTAGTTTGGTGAGATTCTGCATATTGATGTCTTCTGTATTCAGAATTCTCAAAAATATTTGAACTAGGTCAATATGGGTATCAAAATGACGGGAATCGCGTGGAAAAGATATTTGACGATGTAAAAATCTCAGAAACATGTTAAATTCTATCAAAAATTTCAATTTTCTGCAATTTCAGCTCGAAAAATGCACGGGACCAATCTACAGTGATCGGTGTCCAATCACTTCAAATTTTATTGTGATTCCCCTGAAGGCGGCAATCGATTTCGCCAATCAGATTCCAGCATTTTTATCGATTTCCCAAGCAGACAGAGTTCACTTATTGCAGGTAAGCTAAAAAAAAATCTGAAACAATTTTTTGGAAATTCTGAAAATCTGAATCAAATTTTATTTTGAAGGAAAAAAATAGTTGAAAAAGTGACAGAAAAAAAAATAGAGAAAAAATATACAGACATTGGAAAACAATGAAAAATAAAAGTTTTTTTTTTGGAATTTTCAGAACAAAAACAAAATACAAATATCGATTTTCTTCCAGAACAGCGTCTTCGATGTGATGCTTCTCGCTTCGGCCACCTCAATCACGTCTCCAGGCTCCCCACAATTCCCACCAGGCGGCTTATCTTATGATCAGCAATCCTCCACATCGAATTCTCTGATTCCCCAAATCATTCAATCGATATCCGATCGAATCCGGCAACTTCCACCCCAGGCGATTCCAATTCTGACTGCCATTGCTGTCTGCCAAGCTGATATCATGCCTGATTGCCAACAACCATCACTTCTATCCAATCAATTGTGGGCGGTGCTTGGAAAAGTGGGCGGAGTCAACCCGTTGCTCATCGGACCATCACTGTTCAAAGACATCCGATCGTTGAGACAGTGGCACAATGCTCGCCTTCGACAGGTCTCTCAAATTCCGCAGGTTAGTTGAAAAGTCCTTGTTAAGTTTAGTGTCCTCACAAATGTTCAGCTTTCTAGGCCTATTTTGAGCCAAGTTACGCCTCCCCAAAGTTTTGTGGCGCACGCGACGCGACCGCGTCGCGTAGGTCAAATCTTTTAAGGGATGTAACTCGGCTCAAAATGAAGCTAAAAAGTAGAAATTTTGTGAGAGCAGTTATCAGAACAGGGGAAACATAAATATATATATAGTCAATTTTAAATTTTAGCTTCTCCAAAATTTGTGAAATTTTGAAATAGAAAATTTCCCGATTTTCTTTGTTTCCCCAGATAGCCGAAATTGAGTTTAGTGTCGTCACAAAATTTCAGTTTTCTAGGACTACTTTGAACCACGTTACGCGTCTCCAAAGTTTTGAGACAGTGTAACTTGGCTCAAAATGAAGCTAGAGATCTGAAATTTTGTGAGGATACTAGGGATAGTTAGCTTTACAAGCTACAAAAGCTTTGACATTTTCTATGCCACTATGTGAAAGTTAGGCCACCATGCTCAAAAGAGCTGCAGCTTGGCTCATAGTTGTTCTAGAGCTTTCAAATATTTGAAATTCTCAATATTGGAGTTTTCTAACCTCATAAAATGTGTATTTCAGCCTCACTTCCACCCGAATCAGCTGCTTCTTGGCTTTCAACAACCACAACAACCCGTATACTTGCCACCCGCATTTCTGTCACCACCCGCTTCAACCAGCACACTGTCACAATCGTCAATCAAATCCGAATACATCGAAAGACATCAATCGATTGCAGCAATGTTGGAGCGGCCGCGGCGTATCAGCACTGGAGTACCAGAGCCTCTGAATCTGACGCTTCCCCCTCCTCTCGGACGTCTTCCAGTGAAAGTTGAGGAACCGGATGAGGAGCTGGCGGTGACGGATTCTGAATCGAAGCCGTCGGTCTTCGAATAATCAACGACGATCTCATCTCTCTTTCAAGCAGCATTGTCGAGCAACTATTCGTTTGGACGCGCTGACTTGAAGCATACAGTGATGCCTGTTTTCGGCGGAACTCGCGGCTCGATTTCTCGTCCCGAAGACAGCATACCACTCGGCCGAATTCTTCGCGAAATCGACCTGCAAAATATTTATGATTAGTTGCTTAGTCTCATCTTATTTTCTCTAAATTTCCCAACTTTTTCAGTGACCTAGAACTTTTTTTTTTACAAAATTCCAAAATTCAAATTCTTGTAATTTGAATTTTTCTTTCTTTCATCCAATAGCCCATATCAAGTTTAGTGTACTCACAAAATTTCAGCGCTCTAGCACTTATGTGAGCCAAGTGACGCGTCTCCAAAATTTTAAAGCGCACGCGACGTGACCGCGTCGCGTAGGTCAAATATTTGAAGGCTTGTAACTTGTCGGAGCCTCAAGCTAGAAATTTGAAATTTTGTGAGCACACTTGAAATAATAAGAGCTACATGGTGGCTAGTTTTTAGCTTTCCAGCTCAATTTTTTTCGAAATTTTGAAAGTTAGGAGAATCCGAATTTTGAGATTTTCTTTATTTCATGCGATAGCCTATATCAAGTTTAGTGTTCTTACAAAATTTCAGCGCTCTACCACTTATTTGAGGGGAGTTATCCCTTCACGAAGTTTAGCGGACACGCGACGCGACCGCGCCGCGTAGGTCAAATCTTTAGAGACGCATAACTTGTCTCAAAATGTTGCTAGAGACTTGAAATTTTGTGAGTACACTTGTCACTTTACTTTGAATCATTCAACAAATTATTGGAAGTTTCTAGGCCACCATGAAAAAGTTAGGCCGCACAACTCATCTATTGTTTCTATACGGGTTTTTGTGTCCCCCACTCATTCTCAATGTTCTGTCCCGATTTTTTAAGCATCCGATTTTTTCTGTTTCCCGGTTTTTCAATGTTTCCTAGATATGTACCCATCTGACAACGGTCTCCACATTTTCATATTTCCTGTTTTCTCTGCGTTTCTCACTCTCTCAAAAATGATATCCCATTGTTTTCTCCATATTTACGTGTACATATCGCGATGATATTTTTGACACCCAAAATGAAAATAAAAAAGTTTTAACCTAAAAATTTAACTTTTTGACCTACCACTCAGAAAACTGTACAAAATCGGATTCAGGCAGGATGAGGAATACGAGAAGACACGTGGCAACAGTTTTCGAACTGCAATGACGTCGTCGGTGACGTCGGTGGACAGGAGACCGTAGTTTCTGAAAAGCAAATTTTTTAAATCGGACATTTTTAAACAAGTGTGTACTGATCTGAAAGCCCGTATCAATTTTAGTGCGTTCACGAAATTTCAGCTATCTAGGACCATTTTGAGCCGAGTTACGCGCCTTCAACGTTTTGAGGCTCACGCGACGCGACCGCGTCGCGTAAGTCAAAATTTTGAAGGTGTGTAACTCGGTTCACAATGAAGCTAGAGACTTGAAATTTCATGAGGGTAGTTATCAAAGCATGGGAAACAAAACAGTTAGGTTGAGACCAATTTTTCGGAATTTTTCTGATTATTCCAAATTGAGTTTTCCAACGATTTCATTATTTCAACATATTGCTGTGTTCAATTTCAGCATCCTCACCAAATTTCAGCTATCTAGGACCATTGTAAGCAGAGTTACGCGCCTTCAAAGTTTCAAAGGCGAACGCGACGCAGCCGCGTCGCGTAGGTCAAATCTTGAAAGGAGTGTAACTCGGCTCAAAATGAAGCTAGAGACTTGAATTTTCGTAGAGGGATTAGAAATGATTGGTTTAACATTTCATAAAAAATATCGGTTTTTCTAGGCCACCTTGCGAAAGTTAGGCCAGCAAACTTCAAAAGCTTTTATCTTGGGTCATATTGGGCGTAGGAAGTTGAAGCTAGGTTCAAAATATTTGTAAAAACTTACAAAGCAATATTATAAAGATGTACGGGAAGATTGGAAATCGCAAAGAGCATAACCACAGCGCAGAGCATTCGCACTGCCTTCTTTCGGATGCTTATTTGACGGCTGGCGACGCTGGAAAATTTTTAGAGGATGCAAATTCGCTTCACTGAGAAACTCACGTCAAATGGTTTGATGAGAAATGAAGGGTCCGTACCATATGAAGACAGAGTACAGAAATGACCAAAAGTGGGAGGACAAATGAGAAAATGGTTTGGACGAGCTGATAGTTCATTTGGAACTCCTCGGACCATGACTCCTTGCATCGAGTTCCCCACTGAAAGTTTTAGATTTTAGACTACAAACTACAAACTACAAAATATACAAAAATTTTGAGGCAAAAATCATCGAAATCGGATGAAAACCAACCGAGTTATAGCGCTTTGAAGTTTTACTGAGGCTAAGACTACAAACTACAAAACCCGCTAAGCCTCAGTAAAACTTCAAATCGCTGTAACTCAGCCAGTTTTGGTCCGTTTTCGATCACTTTAAGCTCAAAATTTTGGGAATTTTGAGGGAAATTTTTTTTGTCAACATTTTTGGTCCAAAAAAATTCTCATATAAAATTTTGCATGATTACTGTAATCCACAACCTACCTGAGTCGTAAAATTGGGACGGACGAATCGTGCACCGGCCAGGTGGAGGGTCACCGGTTCTGGTGAAGACAAGAACATTGCTAGGAGCCAAATTCCTAGAAGATTTTTTTGTAGTTTGGATTTTTTGTAGTTTTTGTAGTCTTACCAGCAATAACACTTCTAGTGCGTACAAATGGGCTTTTCAAGGGGTACGTGATGGCTCGCCAGCGTTCACAAGTGATGAATACCAGGGACATGATACTGACATAGACAGAGGTGTTCTGAAAAAAAGAATTTTCTGACAAAAAAAAATTTCAGCATAATATATTTTTTTCTGAAATTTTTTTTTCAAAAAAAAATTACAAAATTTGATCCAAAAACCATTGAAAACCGATGAAAATGAGCCGAGTTATGGGGTTTTGAAGTTTTACTGAGGCTAAGACTACAAATTACAAAAACTTCTAAGCCTCAGTAAAACTTCAAATCGCTGTAACTCGGTTAGTTTTGGTCATTTTTCAATGATTTTTGGCTCAAAATGTGTGGGAGATTCTACATTTTCAATTACGTTAAAACAATTTAATAAAAATTTCAAGAATTCTCAAAAAAAATCACATTAATAAAATTGACACTTTTACAGAAGACCGCCGAGAACCAGAATGTCTTGGTGACATCATTGACTACGGTGAGTGGAAGGCAAAAAAGGAGAATCAGAAGGTCAGCAATCGCCAAATTCATCAGCACCAAGTTGAGAGCATTTCGCTGGAAAATTCGAAAAGAATTGAAATTTTTTATTTTAAATATCTGCAATGTTCATGAAATTCCCAACATTTTGAGCCAAAAATCATCGAAAACGGACAAAAATGAGCCGAGTTACAGCGCATTGAAGTTTTGCTGAGGCTAAGACTACAAACTACAAAAACTCTCTAAGCCTCAGTAAAAACTTCAAATCAATGTAACTCAGCTCATTTTTGTCAGTTTTTGATGATTTTTGGGTCAAATGTTTGGAAACGCGTTTTTGATATTTAAAGTTCAGAAACATTAAAAGAATACAAACTACAGACTTTGCTAAGCCTCAGTAAATATTAAAATCGCTGCAACTTTGCTTATTTTTGTCCGTTTTTAATGATTTTTGGCTCAAAACGTCTGAAATCTATTGTTCTCTCAGAACATTTGCCCCACTTTAAGAACTTTCTCTTGATTTTTCAAAAAATCAATAAAGTCTCATTAAAACATTAAAAATGTTCCGATTTTTCATTATTTTCTTTGAGTTTTTCAAATATCTCATATTCCCGATTTTTTTTAAAATTTAATCTATAAAAATAGTAAATTTTTCTGAAATTACTTTTTCGTCCCCAAATTTTTTGTATTCCCCCAAAAAAAATTTTTCCGGAATTTTCTTTTTTTTGTTGCTAAATGTTAATGATGTTTGTCTCTTATTTTCTATCTCTTTTAAAAATAGACTAATGATGTGTTTTATGGACTTTTGAGAACCTAAAAAAAACAACAACAACAAAAAAATCAACCTAGGACTTTCTGGAATTTTCTGGAATTTTCTGAAGAAAAATTTTCAAAAGTTAAAAAAAACCATTCCAAATTTTTTTTCTGAATTTTATTTAAACTTAGAAACATTTTTTTTCTTCAATTTTCTCGAATTTTTCTTTAGAATTTTCAAAATTTCAAAAAACCTTCAATACAAGATTTTTTTCATAACAAGTCTTTTTGAATAATTTTTCAGCAGAAATTTTGTTTTTCAACATCATTTCCAGATTTCTTCTAATACTGAAAAATTCATAGTTACATGTTTCCCCCCGAAAAAAAAAAACAAGTTTTATCATTTTTTAGACTACTGATCAGAGATTCTATTTTAAGCTGAGCAATCTGGGGAAATAAAAACGACGTTGAGGAAGTCTTAGAGATGCTAATCATAGTTATATTCAGGGAGAAAATTTGCGTCATCCATTCAAAAAAAATTGTCAGGGAAATAAAATTTTTTTTCAGATTTTTTTTTCCGGAAATTGACTGAAAAATTTCTAAAAACTATGAAAATCTTTTATTTGTAGAAAATGCAGAAAAAAAGTTTTAAAATTTTCTGTAATTTTTTTCTAATTCATCAGTTTTTTCATTCGTTTTCCCTAGATTTTTGAGATTCTCCAACTTTTTGAGTTCCGAAAAAAAAGAAGAAATCCAAGAAAATCCCTAATTCCCCTAGTCAAATCGGCTTATTGCTCAGCGTTAGTCGTCAAACGATTTTTGGCTGTTGGAGGCAAAAGAACAAGAGTTTAGAGAACAACGAAAATTTTGGAATTTCTTTTAAAGTTTCTAGATAAATCTAAAAGAAATTCTGAATTTTTCATCAAGAAAAAACACAAAAAATTCTCAAAAAGTTGAGCTCAAAATCATTGAAAACGATTGAAAATGAGCCGAGTTACAGCGCGTTGAAGTTTTCCTGAGGCTAAGACTACAAACTACAAAACTTTCCTAAGCCTCAGTAAAAATTCAAATCGCTGTATCTCAACTCATTTTCATCCCTTTTTGATGATTTTTTATTGAAATTTTGGAAAATTTCTGGAAATTTCGTCCAAATCGAAATTGTTTGAAATTTTGTCTGGAAAAGTCACTGGTGAAACTAGAGATTTTGTCGACTAGCCGGTTAATAGTTTATAGATTCAAAGTCTCCGAAAACTTTTAAAGTTTGAAACTGCAATCCATTCCAGAAAATTTGAGCCCAAAATCATCGAAAACGGACAAAAATGAGCCGAGAAATTTTACTGAGGCTAAGGAGGTTTTGTAGTTTGTAGCCTAAGACTCAGTAAAATTTCAAATCACTGTAACTCGGCTAGTTTCGGTCCGTTTTCAATGATTTTTGGCGCGAAATGTTTAAAATTCATTGGATTTTCGACGTTGAAAAGTTTGGAAACACTGAAAGCCTACAAACTACAAAAATTCCTAAGCCTCAGTAAAAATTCAAATCGCTGTAACTCGGCCCACCTCTTTCCGTTTTTAATGTTTTTTTGGTGCAAATTGTAGGAAATTTTGTAGACTACAAAATTAACATGCAAAATTTCGCAAATTTTAGGTTTTTTTAAACAATTTTCTAGAAAAACCGAAGAAAACTGTGAACTTGAAATTTCTGTATGTTTCTGAAAATCCAACGAATTTGACACATTTTCCACTAAAAACTAGCTTGACGGCTCAAAAACTAAACGAGTTACAGCGCTTTAAAGTTCTACTGAGGCTTAGACAGTTGTGTAGTTTGTAGTGGTAATTTTTTTCTGAAAATCATTTTTGAAATTCCAAAAATTTTTGAGCTTAAAATCATTGAAAACGGTTGAAAATGAACCAAGTTACAGCGCTCTGAAAAAATGTCTGCAATTAATTGTTCTGTTCAGTTTTTGAAAGTTTTCAAGATGCACAATGCCAAAAATGGCATAAACCATACTTGTGAAGGGCCGGGCCGGGCCGGGCCGGGCCGAAACACGAATTTCACCGGCCCGGCCCGGAGGCCCGGTCGGCCCGGAAGTTTACCGCGAACTTCAAAATCTTGAGCGAAAAGTTGAATCATTGTTTCGAAAAAAGGTATTCAGTGTTTTTTTTCTTCGAGTTATTTTTCAATACATTCTAAAAATCAATAAATTCATGGCGGCTGTTTAAATTCATTTTTCAAAAATTTTGTTTTTTTTTCTGCCGGGCCGCCGGGCCGGGCCGGGCCCTGAAAATTTTCTCTCGGCCCGGGCCGCCGGGCCGAAATTTCACAAGTATGGCATAAACTAAAATTTCGAGAAAAATTTTTAAAATATTTTTCTGGACTTTTTTTCTTGCAAAATTTGTTCCCCAAATTTTCAATTCCAAACACCTTTCCAACGTCATCTGTTCCATCAGCTCTAAGATCCTAAAACAACATTTTCTGTTTCCGTTTGATGAGGTGTCACGATGCTCAATGCTCAAAGCTTATCCTATCCTACCCCCAAAAAAAAATATCCTCTTCGTATTTTTTTTTCATTTTCTCACTTTTTTTTTGCTCATCTGACTTTTTAGTCAAAATGAGAGAAAAAAGTTTTCATTAGAATCCGACGACGACATCTTCTAAACATGGTGTATGTGTGACGAAAACATTCAGAGGGTGTTTTCAGCCAAAAAAAAATTTAGGAGAAGATAGAGAGGGGATTTTTTGGGACCTGGGGAATGTAATTTTCCAAGTTTCGAAATTGCTAAATCTGGAAAAAAGCCACAAAGTTCCCAGAATTTCGAATCAAAAATCGACGGAAACGAATGAAAATAAGCCGAGTTACAGCACATTGAAGTTTTACTGAGGCTAAGACTACAAACTACAAATAATGCCTTTTTTGCGATATCTGAAAAGGCAGCTAACTTCCTAAATTTTGAGCAAGAAATCATCAAAAATGGTCGCAAATGAGCCGAGTTACAGCGTTTTGAAGTTTTACTTAGGCTTAGAGAGTTTTGTAGTTTGTAGTCTTAGCCTCAGTAAATCTTTAAAGCGCTGTAACTCGGCTCGTTTTCATCCCTTTTCAATGATTTCTGTCTCAAAATTTCAGTAATTTTTTGTACTTTTTTTCGAAATGAAAACTTCCAGAGTCGGATTCTGAATACCCCTCACTACAAACTACAACTATTTCCAGAGTTCTCTGAAAACATTTTCATTGGTATTTGACGGTTTTTGACTCAAAATTAAAGGAATTTTCTAGAAAACTTGTATGGACCAGACCAGTCCGACTAAACCATCCCGGATTAACCTTAAATCCTTAGCGACCTTTCCAAATATCCTAAAAAAGCTCTCTGAACCTAAAACCTATGCTTGTTTTTCTGATTTCCACGTCATCAAAAGAATTTTCTCTCTTCTCTAGACAGATTTAGGGGGGTTGTTGACACAACTCTTTCGTCAAAAAATGTGCTAAATGATTCCTCGAAATTGAAAATTTTCGCGGTTAGTCAAGAAGCACAGCAGGAAACCCGAAATATGTCACGTAGCCTTTTTCAGAGAACTCTGAATAGAAGGGTATTCAGAATTCTAGTTTTCCCGTTTTTGAATTTTAAGAAAAAGAGCGAAAATTTCGGTTTTTAGCCGTTTTTGGCTCAAAATTTCTCGGAGTTTCCGCTTTTTTGGAGATTTGAAAGTTTTTTAACAAATTCAGTTTTTCGTCAACATTTTGGGACCAGAAAAATAGGACAAACAACTGCTTTTTTTGAATCAAAAGTTCAAAATCTGAAAAAAAGATTAAATTTCATTCATTTTGAGCCAAACATCATTGAAAACGGATGAAAATGAGGCAAGTTAGAGGGATTTGAAGTTTTACTGAGGCTTAGGAGTTTTTGTAGTTTGTAGCTTTAATGTTTCTAAACCTTTCAATGTCAAAAACCGGATAAATTCTAAACATTTCGCGCGAAAAATCATTGAAAACGGACCGAAACTAGCCAAGTTACAGTGATTTGAAATTTTACTGAGGCTTAGGCTACAAACTACAAAACCTCCTTAGCCTCAGTAAAAGTTCAAAGCGCTGTAACTCGGCTCATTTTTGTCCGTTTTCAATGATTTTTGACTCAAAATTTCAGGATTTTTTTGTAGTTTGTAGTCATATTGTAGTCACTTACCATTGACTTGTTCGTCGACACCACAACCACAACCAACGCGTTTCCGACGACTCCGATCACCATCATTGTGCCGAGAATGAAGACGAACCTGAAAAAAAATTTTCTTTTAAATTATAGATACGGTAATTCCAAATTTTTGATTTGTGGTCCCTAGAAAAAGTTCCTTCTCGGGGATATTCCGAGAAAAAAAAACTTTTTCTGAAAAATTCCACGTCACTTTTCTCTGGCTGACAGGTGTCAGAAGATGTCGAGTTTCCTCCTACACAAGAACCTCTAATTTTCGAAATTCTTAAGAAAAAAAAAACGAGAAACGGAAATTGTCAGTTTTCTGGGAAAAAAGTTTTTCTGGCCAATTTGAGAATTTCAGGGGAAAACTAAAGGAAGCGAAAGTTGAATGTGTGGCAAGTGGTGGGGATTACTGTAGCAAGGAAAGGAAGAAATGAGTACGCTAGATGAAAGACTGCAAAAAAGTTTTGAAAAAAACACAATTTTGATTCTTGGTGCCAAATTTAGGCATTTTCATAAATTTCCAAAATTTTCGAATTTTTTCAAATTTGATTTTTTTTTTTGAAATATTAGAAACAGTTGAAAAATGTGAAAAACAAGCAAAAATTCCCAGAAATTTTGAGCCGAAAATCATCAAAAACGGACAAAAACGAGCCGAGTTACAGCGGTTTGAAATTTTTACTGAGGCTGAGGCTAGAAACTACAAAACTGTATAAGCCTCAGTAAAATTTCAAATCACTGTAACTCGGCTCATTTTCGTCCGTTTTCTATCATTTTTTTTTGCTAAAAACGTTTGGAATTTAACCGTTTTTCTCGTTTTTCAATTTTTGATTCAAAAAAAGAAGTTTTTTGTCTCATTCTTCCGGTCCCAAAATTTTGACTGAAAATTGCGAAAGTTTGTTCAAAACCTTTGAAAATCTGAGAGCAAAAATTCGCAGGAATTTTGAGCCAAAAATCATCAAAAACGAACAAAAACGAGCCGAGTTACAGCGATTTGAAATTTTTACTGAGGCTAAGACTACAATCTACAAAACTGTCTAAACCTCAGTTAAACTTAAAACTACTGTAACTGGGCTCATTTTCATCCGTTTTCTATGATTTTTGGCTCAAAATGAATGAAATTTAATCTTTTTTTCAGTTTTTGAACTTTTGATTCAAAAAAAGCAGTTGTTTGTCCTATTTTTCTGGTCCCAAAATGTTGACGAAAAACTGAATTTGTTTAAAAACTTTCAAATCTCCAAAAAAGCTGAAACTCCGAGAAATTTTGAGCCAAAAACGGCTAAAAACCGAAATTTTCGCTCTTTTTCTTAAAATTCAAAAACGGGAAAACTAGAATTCTGAATACCCTTCTATTCAGACCGAGTTACAGCGTTTTGAATTTGTTACTGAGGCTTAGACATTTTTGTAGTTTGTAGTCTAAGCCTCAGTAAAATTTCAAAGCTCTGTAACTCGCCTCATTTTCATCCGTTCTCGATGATTTTTGGTTCAAAATTTCAGGAATTTATTAGAGTTTCTATTTTCAAAAGTTTTTCGAATCTCCCGCCAAATAAAAAACTCAAAAACACCAAAAACTACCGTACCACTGCTCCACCGCATTTGGCCATAGAGCATCCGCAATAATATCCTCATATTCTTCATTCGTTTTCACTTGAAGACCAATTATTTGACTCGTATCGTAATCGTCGAATTCCGATGACGATGACGTCATCGATGAATTTGTAGAAGTCATTTTTTGTAGTTTTCAGATTTTCGAAGCTTCTTGAGTTGTCTAGAATTGCATGCCCTGGAAAAATATAAAAATTGAGAAGAAATAGATAGAATTATAGAGAAATTTGAAGAAAATTGAAGAAAAATAATAGAAATTCGAAAAAAAATTTGAAATACTTTTTTCAAAAAAGTTTTTTTTTCAAAATTAATATTAAAAAAATCAATCTCGGCAATATTTCAGACAGACTATCACTGATTTTTCCAGCTTAAAATTCGAAAATTCTGAAAATTCCAAAAAAAAAATTATTTCGAAATTTTCAGAATTTATGCAAATTCGTGAATTTTTAAGCATTAATATGAGCTAGAGAATTTATACATTTTTAAACAAAAATTACCAAAAAAAAATCGAAAATTAAAAAAGATGTTTTTTCCAAAGTTCGAAAAATCACAAAAATGGATTGTAGTATTTGTAGTCTATATCAAAATTGAATTTTGCAAAAATTCCAAAATTATCAAAAGTACGTTTTACCGGAAAAAATTTTTTATCACAAAAAAATAATTTTTAGAATTTTTTTCTGATAAATTGATAATCCTATAATGACTTTGAGATAGCAAAAAAACGCACGAAATGATGTTCTCGAAAAGTGTGATCAGAATCCGAAAATGATCAGAAATCAAATGAGTCAAATATAAAGTTTTTCAGGCGAAAAACAAAATTCAGATGACTCAAGTTCCAAATTTCGAAATGAAGCTCAAAATGCGAGAATTTAAAAACAAAATTGAGATTCCGTAGTTTGTAGTGAAACAGTGGTTTTTTTCAGATTTTGTTCAAATTTTCCGTTTTATTGAAACTTTCGATTTTCAGATATTCCAAAATTTCTGTTTTTTTTTTTGAAAAATTTCAGATGAAACTGTTTCAGCCAAAAAAAGAGATAAAAAGGAAGGATAAACCCCCGGAAATGCCTCATCATCTCTTTTTCACTAAAAGAGCTCTTCTCTCT